GTGAAACATTATGCTGGCAACCCCACCCCGTGTGAATAAATACCACTGCTATCGAAACTTCAAGTCTTTAGCTTGAAGCCTGATGTTCCACTGAGAACATAAAGGAAAATAATTCAGTTGAGAAGAATCATCGAAATAATCAAAGATGAGCTGATATTATCCTAGTTCATTTCTCGCTCTTACTTTGTTCAAATTTAGATATGGTTTCATTCATATGATGACCATTGTAAGCTGTCATAATTTCATCATGCACAAAATTAATAAGGAATGACTGAAGGACATATTTCAAACAATAAATTTCAATATCACAGCTGCCACATAAAATCTATGCCATAGGATCTTACTCTTAATTCATAGGCTATGCACATAAACGGACTGAAGTCATCTTAAAACTCATAAACTGAGTACAATAATTTTAAAATTTTACTGAGGCTTCCTGAAAACAACAATTCTATTTTCTTTTTATGCCTCATAACGTATATATATCTAATAGTTTTGATTATGTGAACTCATAATTCTATGTGTCCTTTGATCTGCGACCTGGCGACTTGCTTAAATAACTGGGCCACCAATTGTCCTCTCCATCAGAGTTTTTCTTAATCACATTTTCCATGCTAATGGAATCATCCACTCACATCTATGAAACGCAGCCTGGATTCACGTTCATATTCAAATTCGTTGAAACCTGCTGCCATGGGATTTCGGAAGGAAATGGAGGGAAATCAATGCAGGTTATTAGTGTGTGATTTTGGTAAAACAGAATAGGCGCACGTGATACAATACCGACCAATAATTTATTTCAATACTCTACAGAAATCTGTTAAAATTATTACAACTGTATTTTTACTCACACTTAATACAAACACGTACAAATTTTTATTTTAAAACAGATTAACTATGTATCATCGTTTCATTACTATAAAGGTGGTCAAAGAGATGAGCGATCCCAAAAATCTCTATTGAAAGATGAATTTGAAGATGTACTTTAAAAAATTTCTCTCATTTTTCAAATAAAAAAAAACTGAAACTTGTTTTTCAAATCAACAAACTTTGAACTATTGTATTTTCAATGGCAGCTGAGAATTATTACAAAGGGTGTTTATCATCAGCAGTTTTTGTTTGAAACTTTGAAAATGTAAATGTTGAACTTTGAGTGTTTATATTCGATCTGAAAATATATTTTTTAATCATTCAAAAGATGACAAATATGCAATTTATTATACACTAAAAATTTAAACAAAATTAGCTATTTCTAATAAAGCATGGCATATATTACCATAGTGTTTTACTTGTGGAAGAACAGCTTGATGAAATTAGCACTACTGAGTACAATATACTTGTTCGTGTCATTTGACTTGGGCACATCTGATTTGGCTTCAAGGCTTCCCTGATATAAAGTGTGCATGGAGATGATGTTCAGGATGTGGGGAGTACAAAAGTTTGTAAAGTCTACTCATATTCTCTTTGAGAATTATCAGCTATCTTTCAAGTGACAGTGAAAGAGAAACGAAATCACAGTTTCCTGACTTTTATGATACTTATCGATGAACTTTGGTAATCAGAAATATAGATGAAGAAATCGAATAAGGTATAGGGTATCATCCGTTTAGAATGACTTTCTGTTAGTTTATGGCCACAGTCATTCTATGCATATATGTTCACTAATGTTGACACAGTCTTCGTAAATCGAAGATATTGAAAATAAGAATAATGAATATTATAAACTGCGGAAAATAATGACATCTATGTAATAAAAGTACAGTTGTGTATTCGTTCTGAATGCACATCATGTCAGCAAAATGTGAACAACACTTACTTTGACGCTGTTTTGATGAATTCTACTCTTGAAATTGAATTATTGCTGAAAAATGGAGGTGACGCTTTTTCATGATTTCGACGAATGCTCTAGGCCTGAAAAATAATTGCTTTGTCTCAGGCTGACATGTCGGTTGCTTGTTTAGATGGACGGACGTTTTCTCTTCATGTAACTCGAAGGCAATCGGAACACCAACACTCACTGAGGACTGCAAGTGCATGCAGATGAACAGTCTCTAGTAGGATGAAGTGCGCATCCTGGATTCCACTGCTGATCATCGTCCACGAAATGACTGAAAAATAAGGTTTGAAGAGATTGTACTAATACTACTTTGAGTTTTCAAAGTTTGAGAATACTTCTTCAGTGCAATCGTGTCTATCCACGTTTGTTTGAGTGAACAGAGGAATAATTCACATTTTCAAATAGATCAGCTAGCTCTGATGCTGCCTTTTTCTACAAAAATGGATGAATATGTTGGCAGCTTCTCTCATATACATTGTATTTTCAGTTAAATCAAATCACAGAACCCAACGATGAATTCCAATAATGGTCATTTGAAAATGGCTAAAGAAGTGACAACTAAATATGGTTCGTCCGCTCTTAAATATATCATATTTTCACCCCATAGAGGCTTCTGATTTACGTGAACACGTTCCACTCATCGTTATTGATATGGGGAGTTTGATCGATGACTAATATTCCACTGCAGCAGTAACTTATTAGTTTCTGATTATCGCTTTATAAAACTAGAAGTAACAGACGTATTGGTATACAACAGTTGGATCGGCCACTCACTGTACTGCTCAACATGCTAACACATATGCATAAATCAAATGACATCAAAGTAAATTTCACTATAGTTTCTCCAATGATTTAACAACTTATCAGTAGCAGCAAAATAAGTGAACAATTATTTAGAACTAAGCCGTATATTTGGTAGTTTGGTAAACACAACATATCCGACAATATAATTTTTTGATTACAGCTTGATTCCACAATGTATTTTTGGTACAAGTATGGAATTTTCAACATGGATATCGGTAGCAGGATGACCATAGATATCAAAAGTGCGTCGGCAGGGAATCGAACCTCGGACCATGTGCATGGTCGGTGAGAGTCCTAACCACTGTGCCACCGACGCACAGTGGCAAATACGTATTTACATTTTCCTGTAATAGTGAATCTCTTTTTAAAGCAATTGGAAAAATGTTTCTGAGCACAGTGTCATTCATTTAAATTCCCGATTTGTAAACTAAGGCAGAAGGCCAAAATTCACTCAGAGTCTTTTTGAACCGTCAAAAGACTGAAGTATTATTCATAGATTAGATATCTGCATATTTGTGAGTCAGTTTCATCCTTTCAAATAATTTAATCATTAGGCCTTTAAAAATGTCACTTCTCTTCATTTGAACTCTTGCATGACTAATAAATAAACTCATGGATGAAACAACCGGCTTCAATTTTTCCTTGTGAAACTGTAAGTGTAGTTATACTTCACTTGTTTCATTCCAAATGAATTTCTGTCCCCGAATGCGATCCGGAGTCGCTAGAACGTTTAATTCGATGCAGTCTCAAATACACCTTGTAACCAATTTATACTTACTGAACAACTTCAGCACAACCTGTGTAATATAGGTATATAGGTATATATGTATGCATATATATGTATATATGTTTCCACTATCTATTTCAGTTTTGAATGGCATTCAGCTAACTCACCTTGCATAAAATTAATCTAATTGAGAAAAAGTATAATTAAGATTCCAGTGAATAATTGGAACATTTGTGTGGAGCAATGCAAAGGGGTCTACAATTAACGGGTTTACTGAAGTATTTCACCTCGATGTAACATAAGTTCTAGTGAGATAGAAAATTATTTTTTTAAACGAGAGTGTGACATATTTTAGTAAACTGCACAAAGCATAGGTATACTTCATCCAGCTTTTGAATTGGAGTAATCCAGTTGAAGTGCATTAGGAGTTGGGCGGTACAATCCTCTCCAGATATACATGTGGTCTGGCATTACATCCCCTACCATAAGCTTTTCGATGAATATGAAGAACATTGACAATTTCATAAGTTAACCATCTTGTTTAAAGAACATGACAATATCTAAATAAAAAGCTTTCTTTGTATCAACTCTCCTGTTTTTGTCATTTTTCTTTTGTTAAAAGATTATTTCACTCTTGTTCGAAATATGCAAAAGAATTAGATAATTCATTACTTAGATAATGGCCATGAAACTAAACGCTTTTTTATTGTTTTGTCATAAAATGTATATTTTCCTCTCGTTGACATGACTACTGGATGTTAATTTTCTATACACACTCATAGGACCATGTCGTTGTTACTTCCACATTTTGACTCTCGTCTCGCCCCACATTTGCTGTTTCAGTGAGTGGATGTATGAATCATTTCTCAAAGCTGAAAGAATCGTATTGTATTATCTATGTAAACGAGTGTGTCAGGTACTGGCATTTTTCCAATACGAATAGTAAACAAAGAAATCAATGATGATAGCCTCAAGAATGATTTCACATTCATTATATCCGAGTAATTAATAAAATTAAAGTTTAGAAACGATTATTGTTGAATCCTCGAGATAAGTATGCAGGAAGTCGTGACAGTCATTAACTATTCGTACCTGCAGGCCATTAACAATGTAGGATGATAATGTTAATGGGTCGCAACCAGCATTATGCATCTAGTTCGTATTGTCGTTTACTGATTTCTGTTAGTCAACAGACATATCTTACTAGATTGTAGGTGTTGTTGGAAAAGCATGGAACTCAGGTTCACAGCTTCCTGCTGATTGCTTCAAGACATCTTATAGTATTCATGGGGAATGATAGGTATTTTAGATTGTTAAGCGCGTAGAGCACTTCTCTAATAGAATTCAATCCGCAAAACTAAGAAATTTCAGTGACCATTCTATGTCTATTGTGATACTGTGTAGTACACCAATAAACTGGATTTTATTTTCGCAGGATTGGATGTGAAATTTAAGGTGAAGTGCAGAGAGCTGTTTAGTGTCGATACAGATCTAAGTTTTAATCATGAACGAAAAATAAACCTGTTTACTGAACTTCAGAAGCCTCTGAAGTGTTTTTAGCCAATAAGCGATACTTATTTAAATCTATTTACAACCTTTCTAAGTTACGTGGACATGTTTAGATGGTTTTTTGTAATGATGACACTGAATAAAGTGTCATTCGTTTAGTACACAATTCTGAATCGTCCATTCCTACGAAATATGTCCCACCAATAACGCAAGATGATTGCTTAAATAATTTACAAGACTGGTAAATTAACTTAGTAAACATTGTACTGTGTCTTGTGCAAATAAATTTAAGCTCACAAATTATCTCTGCTTGCATTGGATCTTCATCGTTGTGTAGAACTTAAGGTGGGTCATTTTCAGTTTGCATTGATTTCATATCGTATTTATTATTATTTTTGAGTCAAAAATCCGGCTTCAGCGATACGTCTCTGTTGCACTCATTTCTCTTTCATCAGTGTTAACCAGCTTAACGACTGCGCGCAATCTTCATTTCTTCTTCATATTTTCTTCTGTATGTCACCCGCTAACGTTGAACCCATCACTTCATACTTAAGTCCCATCGATAGACAGGGGCAGTGGTATCACATGAATGTCTCCTCAGCATATTTACAAATCCTTTGCTGGTGGCACAGTAAATAAGGTTTTAGACCTCACTTAATTTACTACCATATCCTAAGTTAAGAAAAGAGAGAGGATTGTAGGTGGGACCAGCAACTGAAACTTCAAAATACAAGAAAAACCTTATTTGCTGCTGGGATCATTGGGACTCCTCATTTCGAGGATGAACGATAATGAAGAGTACGAGAGTTCAGGAATCCAGTCGACTGTTTTTTATATCAACCAGGCAAAGTACCTTATGGTGCATTTACTAATTTCGAAGGAGATTTTTGGCATTTCTCACATTGCTATATTTCTCGCTTGTCAAGGTTTTGGCATTCTATTGTGTATACAATTCATTATTCATCAAATAGTTGCAAAAAAAGTAGTAATTGTTTGAATTTTCCTCTCTTTATCGTCTTAAAATATGATTCTTGAAATAACACATGTTGTGTACTAGTTAGTTATTTCATTATGGTATTGTTTAAGTGGTTTGAATTAATAAAGCTATAATTGATATGATATTCATATTCAAGGCACTACAGGTGTTGATGCCAGTGAATTCCATATAGGCATAACAAAGGACAGCATATCATCTGTGTTATTCGACTCTTAACTTCCTCATTTTTGGTTGCCAATCATTGTGTGGAAGAGATTCGAAAATAAATATTGTGTTACTTTTCGTTTAACTTTATCTCCGACTTGTTTTCAGCATTATAATAGAACTAAGTTCCTCTCAAAACTTTTATAAGCATACTAACTATTTCGTGGCCTTTTACATTGTACAGCACTAACTATCGAATCTTTTCGTATTTTTAGCTGTATTTTAGCTGGTTATTGGAAAAGAAGCTTCTCTATTATTGTATATACAAATGAGCCCAATCAAGTCTACCTTAAGGGTAATAATACTGGCAGGGATTCAAATAGCAGAATTTGTTGGTTTCATACTCTTTTTGCATTTGTATGTTTTCATTTTAATAAGAAACATTTACAATAAAGGTTTCCAGATTTTAAGACGAAGTTTACAGCATATAACTATGTAGGATTTGTGCTACTGTAAGTATTATTACATGATTTCTATTGTTTCAAATTAAAATTAGTTATGGTTTTATCGAAAATGATCTTTGTATTTGATGGACTACGTGTACTGGTGCGAAGCCTACATTCTTACGTTTTCCTTTTGCTTCACTACTCCGTCCATATATATATATATATATATATATATATAATGTGAATTCGATACAGACTAAATTCTAATCAGCTTCTTGCTACGTGTAAATAGCTTGTCTTCACTAAAAATATGTTGATAGACTCTGTTCTCTGTGCTATTCATTTTTGAAAATAAATGGATAATGATATGTGAGTGAGTTAGGATGAAAGCTGTCTCAAGATGTCTGCACGCATAATGTAACCAAAGTAATAAAAGATATTCTGGTTGTGCAAATTTTGATAAAACACCATTTGAACCACCAAACCGAACATGTGATAAGTCTAAAGCATTCCTCTTAGTACATGATAAAATATCATATTAGACCTGACGGAATGCGAAATGTATGTGATTTCATCCATTCCATATATTCAAGTATATAAAGGCAAGAGTGCTGCAAGCTTGTTTTGTAATATTTTGTGTCCACATCCAATATGAGCTTCAGCAGTTTGTACTTCTCATTGCTGCTTCGCGTGATCAACGGATTATACGGTAAAAACTCCGTAATTTTTCAGGCAAGAATGTGTCACATGTTTGGGAATGAACTAAGGCTCTATTTTATGACAGATAAGCTGCCAGATGGAATACATTTATCCAAAGCTCTGTTTCATTCCAGGCATTCGTTTTAGCATGTATAACCGCCCAAATCCATGTCAAACGCTGAACTATATCTGACGAAAGGAAACATCAGTGGAGGGAATCTCTTATCAGATTGCATTTGTTTTATTTGCATGAGGTCACAAAGTTGAATTATCTACCTAAGTAAATTTTTTGATGGGACAACACGGCATCACGTCTTGTTGAAATGGTATGTAGTAGTTTTCACTACTTTGTTCAAGCTTATCTCCGTCTTAAATCACTTGCTTTCCCCGTTACGCCTTTAAGCCGGTCACATTCAACTTAGTTTGCATCCCATTTTATTAAATATTTTATCTTATATTTTGATTTTTAAATCTATTAATCTTTCATTCATTCATACATTACAGTGGTTTAGCCTATCCTTTAACAGTATCGTTCGTTTCTTCGGTGAAACTTTATGGAACATTTCCTATAAATACCATCTTACTGATAATAAATGTGAGTTATTTCACTGAAATATGAGATTTGAAAACGTGTATTTGTTTTCAAATGTTTACTGAGATTTCTTAGCTTGTAAATTTCATATTTTATTCATGGAAGTAACGTAAAATGCAGATGTGAGATTAGCAAATTTGTATTCTCTGAAATAGGTTTAGTGAGCGTAAATTCATAACCTGATATTGTATAAACATATCATGTTCAAAACATGGGCAATATAAAAGTGATGCAAAGGGGATAATTTTGGTGTTGGTGCTTTTTGTGAGTTAGTTGGTTTTAACTGTGATGATTATATTGTCAACATATTTATTGACGATATCAACATGAAGTGAAATTTTAGAACTTATATAAATAAAAAACACAGTTTTTGTTCAGCGAAGAAATTTCTTTTCAACGACTTCATTTTCAAGCTGTACAGTCGTATTTATATTACAGAAAAAGGTTATTAAGTGGTACTAAATAACTGCTCAGTCAATGTACGTATATATGTGATAAAAGTTATAAGGTGTGAGTTGAAGTGGATAAATTACAAAAATATTAAAGAAATTTCTTCGCTGAACAAAAACTGTGTTTTTACTTATGAATAAATGGGTATTTTTCGATAAATAAAAAAGTCGTCTCTTCTGATGAACTTGAATGCAGTCGCTTGTCGTTGAAGATTTCCTTATCCCCTTGGCCATTTGTATTGGTAATGATAATTTTGTTGACCAGATATTTGAGGTTTTGTTTATTTCGTAAATGTTTCATTGTTTGGTAAATTTGATTCATGTTGGTGTATATCAAAACAAACGCTAATTGAGAGGATTGTAGGAAAGATTTTGCAAACAACAAGTCACGTTTATATCTAACAGAAGTGACAGGTTTCACACTCAGAGAATTCCTAGGTGTAACTCCATTCTGTACCACAAGTACGATTCGGAACAAAACACTATTAATAATGTGAGAAATTAACTCCGAAGATGTCTAGGAATTTAATAAGTAACAAATGCCAGAATTGCGGTTCGATAAACGGTAATTCTACGCATCTAAATACAACACAGCCAAAATGATAACATCTGAAATTAAAGTTTACAAAATAATTCAACAGTAATTAAAATTTTTACTTCTAATGTTTTCATTACAGGCAGCTTTATTAGGTGCTGGTTTCGGATTACTTATGTACATAAACAGTTTAGCATGGACTTGTGGATTTTTAGCCGGAGATTTTGTTTTTGTGTGTATATTCCTTGCCGTTGGAAGCAGAATTAAATTTTTCAATACTACTTTAGTGTATATTCTAACAGTTTTGTTGGCAATTGCAGTTTTTGCAATTTCAGTTATTGCTGCAACAAAGAAGATTCCATGGGTAAGTCTGAGTGGTTATTGTATTGCAATCAAGCAGTTTACGCTAGGATGGAACAAATATTTTCAAAGCATATTTTGCATAACATTCAACATAAGTAAGAGGTACATGGGGGTCATTAGTATACCTCTCACAGCTGATACTAGATGTAGTGCAAGGAGAGAGTTGGAGGTGTCATAGTATTGATATGAGAACTGAAGCATTCATTTACAATCAAACATTAGTCTTTTTAAAAATTTTATTTTACACATTCACAAGATGTTCAGTGAAGAGTTACTCTTTTTTGGGTTTTAATTCGCAAGCTGCACAATCGCACATAAACAGTTAATTTTCTTGGCAACAAAATGAATATTTCAAATAATTGCCATTAAGACTGTAAATTCTTACTAACAAATCACGTAATGCATGAAGCGTTAATCAGGTAGAAACTAAAATAAAACTATTAGGATTGTAAGTTTTAGATAACAAATTTCGTTAACTGGTTAGAAAAAAATAAGACTGAGTAAGCAAGTTGAATAACGTAATCTAATTGATGGAGTTGAGTAAAGCTCAGCTAAAATTAAAGTTGAACAAAAGTCAGGTTAACAACAGTGATAATAAGGGCTGGGGGAAGAAAATCGGGTCCCAGTGGCTAAATGGTCTACGAGCTCGCCTTGTGACCAGAAGGCCAAGGGTTCGCACTCAGGTAGGTGCACTGATGAAGAGTCTCAAAATGAGTGTAAACAGCTGGCCAGTTCTATCAGGTTTTCCAATGGTTCCCAAACCGATGTCAACTCATGATGAAATCCTGTAACCAATCAATCAAATCCCTCCAAACTAATACTTGAAAATACTATACAGTTAAGAAACAAACAAACCAGGAAAAGACTAAGTAAAATTACGCATCTGGTGTTAAGATAAGTCAGTCCCGCTGTAGACATACCTGTTTTGTATTCAGAGTTCAGGTGTTTTAATATGTGAACCGCCATTGATTCTTTAGTTCGAAGAAGTTTGATTTGTTCTAATTTAGCAAGAATCTCACGTATTCTGTAGATGACTTTCAAGTTACAATTTGGGCTGTCTTAGTGCTTCGATTTGACTAGATGTTCCAGAATAGATCTTCAGGCAACCTTTTTTATGCTTTTTGAAAGCAGGAGGGTAGGCGTTCAATGATACGTTTGGATATCAGACGCTGGATACGGCCGACACACGTAGGTTCACACGAGTAGAAGAAACAACAAATTTCGGTGAAGAAATAAATTCCTCCATCAATTGCTCTACACCATAATAATATATAGCTTGAAATCGAATTTATGACACGTGTGTTAGTTCATAGAAATTATCAATCTAGAGGTCGGGTATAGATAAAATAATTACCAAAATCATGAATGTTGATTTGTAGAGGTTTTCAAAAGGACATTACATAATCAATGGTACGTAAGATGTTTATACTTGAGAAGAATAGATTTATAAACTCGTAAGAATGTCAATACGTGGACAAGTCAAATAAACTGTCTGAATAGTTATCATAATGAAATAACAGTAATACACTTTCAAGTGTTAGTTATAAGGATAAGGATAAAATAATTAGTAATTCCATGCACATATATAAATTTCTAAGGCAAAGAAACAAGGTATACGAGTTTCTTTAGTACAAACACATTTGTATTATCAAGATGAATTTAAGAGTGTCTCTGCTCATTGTAAAACTCGGACTCACAAACTGTGACAAATGTTAAGTATTATTATTATATTCTTTAATTCCTAGAGGAACATAGGGCTTCAGCTGCGCATCTCCATTGCCTTCGGTTTTCTGCCAATGTTTTCACCCCGCTCCAAGTCTGCCCACATGCTTTCATCTCCTCTTCACATGACCTTCTCCAAGTCACCGTTACCCTTGGACGACCAACTCGCCGCTTCTCTTTCAGGTTCCACTCGAGCAATGGCTTGTCGAGTGATGTCACTTGATGGTTTCCTCAGATTATGGCTAGCCAATCCATCTCCATTTCTTCCGGCCTATATCTTTCACAATCGGTTCCTGGTTGGTTCACTCATTGCCAGAGATCCCTGTTGCTGATCTTTTCTGGCTGGTCATCTGATCTTGAGTGGTATTAAGCGAAGACAACTGTTAATGAAGGTCTGTAGTTTGTTTGAGATGCTCTTTATGACGCGCTGGCCAAGTCTCTGATCCGTAAAGTAGTATTGACTTTACATTGGAGTTGAAAATCCGGATCTTATTTTTGATGCTGAGTGGGGCTGTTGACCTCCACACAAACTTAAGGGTAATGAAAGCCTGTCTTACTTTTCCGATTCTGGCTTTGATATCCCCGTTAGTTCCGTTGGCCTGTAGTTGAAACGATGTTTCCCAGGTAGGTGAAGGAGGTTGTTTCTTTCAGGTTCCTCCCACTTATACTGACTGCTTGGTGCCTGTTGTTGTTGCTGTGGCTATTGCTGTCGGCCAGGAGTCTTCATCAGCTCTGTTTTATCTATGTTCACTTGAAGTCCTCTCTTCTCTGGATGCTTCTGTCAGCTTGTTTCTTTTCACTTGCATATCTTCCAGTTTGTGGGAGATCAGACATATATCATCGTGAATGAAGTCCAGATCCTTCAAGATTTTTGTGTGAATCCATTTTATGTCTGCTTCCTCATTGCCCGTTGCCTGATACATTATCCAATCTACTGCAATCAGGAAGATCATTGGTGATAGTAGACAGCCTTGCCTCACTCCCGTCCTCACTTCGAAGGCTTCCGTAAGTTTCTCGTTGTGGATTACTTTGCATGCAGCATTGTAGTATAACTGTTGGATGAGATGTATAATTGTTGATGGCGCCCCGTATTAGCGAAGTAGTTGCCAAATAACCTCTCGATCAACGCTGTCGAAGGCCTTTTCAAAGTCGATGAAGTTGAGATATAGAGGTGACTGCCATTCCAAGCTTTGTTCATTGATGATCCGTAGTGTGGCGATTTGATCAATACATGACTTGTTTCTCGTGAATCCAGTTTGTTCCGGTCGAAGTTTTTCATCCAGGGCTTGTTTGATTGTCTCCAGGATGATGGGGCTTAGTATTTTGCTTGGGATGGACAAGAGCATAATTCCGCGCCTAAATAAATAACTAAATATTTCGTCAGTGTCTACTTCATGTTCTCTATTAACGAGGTGAATGGGTTTAGAGCTACTTTTCACTTTATCGGTCATATAATTACGTGATAAAGATCACAGAATCGTTTTATAGGGGATGATGAATTCATCAACACCAATGTGCTTCTTTCCACACTTTATAGTGAAGGTCTACTTCTCGTCGATATTTCTTCGAAAGTAATTAGTCATTTGGAACTCACTGGTCCACTACTGGGCCAATGGGCAGGTAAATTGTGCGTGAATGCTGATGATACTACCCAAATGTCCAGATTGGATTATGTAGACAGAAATGTCACCTTACATCGTTCTGCGTGTTTTTTTCATTTGCTTTTCCTGTGCTGACAAGATGTAATTTCATATTAGAAGACATTTGCATATTTCATATTCCATATAACTTAAGGCAGTTAGAATGAAAAAAAATAATAATATCGAAAGTGGTTACGAAAAGATTTTGTTTTGTTCTAAATTAGAAAAATTCTCATCAAAATATCAAGCTGACTAACATCTTTGTTTTTTTAGTCAAATTAACCTCTATTACTGATGATGAAATAACTTTTTAAGTAAATACAAACAAATAGTTAGTCTTAAATAGAACCTTTATTTCCTTCCTAGTGAATTACGTTGAATAAAGGACATTTCTGCCTTTGTCCACTCTTTAGAATCCCTTATTATTCAGGATTTGAATAGTGGCGATTGTCTGCTTATGTTCAGATACATTCAGATTAAAAATCTGCAGCCATGTATATTCAATGTGTCAATAATTACTAGATCCAATGACAGCATTATACTGTTTCTTGACTAACTAAGACATATTAATATATTATCACTGAAACAATTCGTTCGATAATTTGAATTTGATTACAGCAGATAGTACTTATGTTTTCGATTTTCTTGTAATATCTTAAATGTTAACTGACTGTTCCTTGAAGTACCAGCTGACGCATGAATAGTTTAAGAGAAGGGAGATAATATGCCATTGCAACAGTCTTAAATACGACGAATCATTTTTTTATACTAGTTGATGTCTTGGAAAAGTACTACCAAAGAATATGTAACTAGGTAAAAAACGCTGTTCATTGCTTTCTGATTTTCGATGGTTCCTTGATCGATATTACTTCTAGAGCGAAACTGAAAATATTTTGTTACTTATAAGAGTGTTTATGATAAATTTTGTGGGTTAACTGTTTAATTTTAACTCAATTTCTTCATACCACTGCAAATGTTATTCTCACGATGATTGAAAACACTTCCTTTGAAATAAACATATTGTGGTGATATGATAGAGACAGCGTGTTTCAACGGAATATTATTTTTACATATTTGCACAGTTCAATACAGTATTACCAACAGAATGCTTTGTCTTTGAACATTCTATTTCATGTCATTCAATGTAAGCCAAAATCACACACTCAATGATTGGTTAGAGAATATAAAACTGCATTTATGTAAATACCTGTTTGATCACTTGAAAGTATACCTTCGCTTCCGTGTCTTGCTTTTGCTATTACAGTATGCGAATATGCTTAACAGTGAGTAAAGTCGAAGAATAGCAATTCAAAGGGGATGAATACTCCATTAAGCTTTAAATGGCCACTTTCATCAACCTGGCCGATTCCGGTGAAACTAGAGAGATAGAGTTTAGCACCCTTTCTAATATTCCTGAGCTTTAGCAGCATGTCTACCTGATCTCACTACTTTGATCTAAGTGCTCAGTAGACGGTCATGGGTGATTTCGTTTTCCTGGTTGGCTAATCTTTAACTTGGCCAATAGCCTCTCGTTTTGTTCCAGAAGCTTTGCGTGCAAGAAACAGTGCAGAGATGCTTGTAGATTTGATATCAACGCAGTGTTTTGTCTTAATATAACAATCCTCATTTCATATATAAATTTAATGCTTAAATCTTCACTATACGATAAATAATAATCTTTTTATTATCAACTGCAGATCGATGATAAAGCTGTTTGTGCATCAATCTTTGTTTTATCAGTATTGGTGAGTAACTTGATGCCTCATCTGTACTTTACTAATCATTGCTAGCGTAATATCTCGGAATAAGAATTTATATACATGCAATATTTTTGATACAGCTTTTCATCGTCCGAAATTTTAATACTAGGTAGGTTGAAGTGACAATATTCAACCATTATTCGATTGGAAACTTGTGCTGGTTTATTCATGCACTTCTCTTTGCGCGTGGATATGAAAAGAGATCAACGAGCATATGTCTTATTATAAACTGTTAAGCGAACCGTCACATGTTAACATTACCCTTTCACATGAAAATAAGAATGTTATTTGGTATACATGAAATGTGCCATTACTGTTCCAAGTATGAAAATAAGAAATTATTGAACACATCTATTGTGCTGGCTACTAGAATTCTTTATATCTTGGAATGCTTAATCTCGTAGAGATTTATCGGAAATTTATGAATAAAAGCGAATATATATCCTTGCAGAGTAGTGCTGACGATTGTGCTCCCCTTCTGAATTATTAATTTTCTGAATTAACCTCTGGTCGCTAAAGCCATGAAATATTGGTAGGATGGAGTTAGTATTCATTGCTTAATTAAGAAATCTATTTAAAAAGTGGACAATATTGAGTACAGGAAAATAAATGATGCCCTAGTACTGAGGTGAATGTTATTTGCATGGATTCTCCACAATTTCAGAAATAACTTGTATGTACAGCACCTATTAAAAAATGTTTTCAGATACGAAAATATCAAAAACTATTGTTTTACAAGGATCTAGAATCATGAATTCTCCAAAAGAAGGAACTGAAGTACACCATAAGGTCAGTCATTGGATTTAATGCTTTGATAAATGAGAAGTTGTACTTAAGCGGTTGTCTACAAAAGCCAATGTTTAAATGTACCGTGTATCAGCGTGTTCCAAGTTTTCCTGCCTCAATGGCTGTACATTGTCATCACTGTCAATACAATATGCAGAAGAAAAATGGTTTATTTCCTTGTTATAATTACAAACTAAGTCCTGTTTTGTAGTAGCTTTAGTCAACTTGTTTTCATTTTCCTTCTTTGCTTACAGCTTCTCTTAATCGAAGGTCATAATATGTCCACGGAAGAACATACATACGCGTTGGCAGCTCTATTGATATTTGTCACTTATGTGATTATCTACTATGCAACATGTTTAATTAAATTGAAATATCTTCCGGAACGGCCATCCTTTGTCGCAAATTAATTTGTTCAAACTTCACTAATAAATTCCTTGTTCAAGGTTCTCTCTCTTTACGTATGATTGCTTAATTCATATAAAACTGTAATTATTTTCCAAAGATAAATTGAAAACATTCTTTTATTTTGTTTGATGTAAAATTTCCCACTTCTAAATTCAGGATGTTACATTTCAAAATGAAGAAATTATTACTGGAATTAGCATTCCTCTTTTTTTCATATTGAAATGAGACATTTACTTAACAATAACAGCAACAGTAAAATATCAGTGTTAACCGTGTATCTATCTTAAAATGTTTGGAATCAAACGTGAGGTAAGATAACAAGATTATTTCAAGTAATTGGTAAGTCAAGTTGAATTCTATCATGGACTGACAACACAAACCAATTTCCACACATTTCACGATAACTTCCCCTTTTTCAACTGTTTGTCACGCTTCTGTCATTGTTATTGTAGGCTAAGAAGCATTTGTGCGAGCATACTTTCCAGTAGTCATCGTATCTTCTCTACAGGCTCTAGTCCTTGCTGTTATTTCAGTATTCAGGCGAGTCCGCGATATGAGATCTGGATGAAAGTGACAATGCAATGTATTCATGGCGTACATAATCGACAATGAAGGACATGATTATTTCTCCAGGGTCATTTTTAGGTTTTGATACTTTATGTCTACTCAGCAAACATTTTCTTTTCATAAATTCAGAGGATTGTTCATTTGTCCTCGTACACATTTGTTATATGTATTTCTTTTATGCCGCAGTAGTGTAGCTTACGCAAAACAGGGAGGACATTCTTACTTCCTTGGCTGAATGTGTTATCAAGGAGTTGTAATACCACTTCATACAATAAAACAATATAGGTATATGAGACTAAAATGCATAGACTTGTAAAGAACTTGTATTCACGCTAAGTTTCAGTTATTGTCAAAATGTTTATGTTGAAATAAGGGATATCACAAATTGTGATCTCAAAAATAACGTTAAAAATGATTGTCTGATTGAGAAGGATATTTAGAATCGTTTTCGATAGATAAGTATGTGAGAGTAAAAAGGTCAAAAATTATTGCGCGGAGTGTAAGCATATTCATCTGAAGCTTGAATCATGGTGTTCTATTTTAATTAATGTAGCTCTTCTTATCTATATTTGTCTTAAGTAGAACTTTCAGTGCGTCAAGGAACCATTCTTTATTTTGACTTGGAATAGTTTCTGTAACTACCCGTCTTATCCCAAACGAAAGATATCAGGTAATAACAAGGAATTAAAATACTGATTAAGTCATGAGAAAAATAAAATAAACTTCAGCGAGGAAAATTTTCCTTTTCCATGAAGTCATTTTCAAAGTCTATTTGTAAAACTGGTAAAGTAGCCTTTTATTGAGTGAAAAGGGTATGTAATACAACTGATAGCATCTAACTCCCACTGTTCTAGTGATAAACAAGCAAAATAATGTTCAGAGATACGACTGAAAAGTTTGCACTATGTAGGACCAATACAAATAAATCCATAGAAGTAAGTGAACTAATGAACATACACGCTGAAATGACCGGAATATCAGTCTGCTGATCATAAATCATTTTATCATTTACCGGCTGTAGAAACTGATCCCTAGCTCAATCGACAAGACTGATTTCTCAACAGTCTGAATCAGTGGTCCTCCAGTATTTCCACAAAAATTGACATCCATAAACAGCAGTCTTTTCGTCACGTGTGGATTGTTCGCGACTTATGCTTAAGTCTAACGTTTTCTCAATCAGTCTTGAAGGCTGTACATTTTGAAAAGAACATGTTTGAGCCTCTCCAGCTCTGTATAAAATATATCATTGATACAAACCCTCTTTGTTCTTGAAGATAAGGAGTGAATCAGGGTTTTTACAACATTGCAAAATGATCCAACTACAGAACTTCCTATAATGATAATTCCACGTTAGCTTTACTTAGACTGATCTTTAAGGAGAATTATGAGGTTTCGCTTTTAAAGAAACACCGAAAAAATAGGATTCAGACTCCACGACAGACTTTTGTAGGAAAGAATATGGCGATTATTTAGGTCCTTCATTATCACTTCGCTGTAATCATTTTTCTCTCATAAAACGTACGTATCGTCGATGTATTTTTCGTACACACAAAAGTCCTTAATATTGGTGGACGTTTTATGACACAAAGTGGAATTCGCTATTCTATTAAAAGAAGTACGACTACATCCTCTGAAGATAAATCCTGCGATAAAAATTACCTTATATGAGTTGTGTTAATATGTCCTAATGAAAAAAACTAAAACTGACACGAAGTCAAATATCTGATGGACAAAATAGTCAATAACAGCGCAGTGAAGAGGATGATAAATAAATTCACGGATAAAACCAATCACCTTCAAGTATATTATGAGAGATTTCTACCCCATTCATGAAGAATTCTTAAATCCCACTTGACCTTGAAGTTGTCACCGAAGATAATGCATAGGAAAATAAGAAGAGCTTCACGATTAAACTATCCACCTCAGAGAGGGAGACGATGCAGAAACTCTCGAACGAAGCTAAAAATCTTTTATCTTCTAATAGACATTTAGACTTAAATTCGTCTCATCCGTTATCTGTCTGTGAAGGCAGGCTTAGTTAAGTGTCTAACAAACCGAGCCATAGCACCAAGTAGCACAAGAAAAGATCTAAATGACGAAATAAAACAGATAGAAGAAGTGTTGGTGTCAAAAAACTATCCTATAAAATTCACTAGGAAAGTCCAGAAAGGTCAAAAGCAAAATAAAAGTAATGATGAAACTAATAATGATAACATAGATAAGAAAGAATATAAGGAATCTACAGTTTTACCATATAAGGAAGGCACATCTGAGACCCTACGTAGGATTCTCAATAAAGCGGGAATCAGAGTGGCATTCAAACCTACAAACTCACTCAGGTGGGGCAAGTTCTATAGGTCGAAGCACGCTGTGGGTTGGCTTAGTTTGACAAAATAATATAATTTACAAAATACCCTGCAACGACTATGGGTTAAGCCAACTACATAAGTCAAGCCGGTATCTCGGGGGTAGTCAGATTGTCAGAACATAAGAATTTAACTAAGGTAAGAATGGTTGACCCCAAGAAGATAAGTGATTTAGAAAAACGCTCGGTGATTGTACTGGGTGCATTAACACACAACCACACAATAGGGTGGGATAGGGTTAAAATTCTAAAAGTAATATGTATAGGTGGAGGTAGAGAGAGGTTGATTACTGAATCCTTGTTCATCGAGTCTACACCCAACACATGCAATAGGAATGACTCGTCACTCATACCGGAAATATGGAAAATACTATTACCAATCAAATCAAGTGAAAATCAAGAGAAAAACAATGGAACTATATAAATGAAGTTAGGAAGTCGTGTGATAACTTTTTTATGATTATGAGCAATAAATTGTGCTCGAAACGTCATCAGTAAACGTTACTGTATAACACTGTGAGACTTTATCAAAACAAAATTTACCCATAATGGAATTACACTCTACCACAGTGCACAAGTTTTATCCTTATATCAGCTATGGGAATGTTGAAATTCAGAGCAAATGAGAGGTTCTTTTTAGCTTATTTATATTTTAATGCAGCTCTAATTGAATTATGGGTTTCTACAAAATACTATAAACCAGTGACTAAACTGAATGATACGTTCACAAACAGCTTTACAGATGCATTTATAAAATGATGACTAACTGATATATAAAAATGAAAATAAAGAATTGCCAATTTCGTTAGTTCTCATACTTTTACAAGATCACTTCACGTAACGTTATTTCTCTTAGTATTTATTTATTCAGCTACCTGACAATTTGTGAAATCATTCAAGAAACTATACAGAAGTTTGCATAGATATCATTATGATCATGCAAATATGTTAGCTTATAAGGAGGTTCACTGAATGGCTGGTTTCATTTTCATATTGGAATAGTACACCAATAACTGTCAGTGATCTACAAAGAAAATAACATATTACTGCCAAAGTGGCCTATTCTTAGTCAGTCGATTTCTCCCTGTACTTTTTGTTAAGTAAGACATCATCATTGAAATCGGAAGACTCTTTACGATGTAATTTCATAAATGCGCCAGTATTACAATAATATATTTCACAACATTAGGCTATAAATTTCCTGAAGGTGGTCACAAGACGATTATCAAAACTTGATTTGTGGTTGCGTGTCACGAAAACTTTGCATATGCAGCACCTACTATGATCAGTTTGATTAAATTTTATAGAGAAAAAAAGTGTTGAAGCCCAACGAGCTTTAAGAAGCCACGAAACAATCTGGTGCACACTAAAATTAATTTGACTGTATTGAACAAGGATTTTCACATTTTAGAATGTTTGTTTTGTCTTTTCGCTTGTGCTACTGACGAAACTTATCAGTAGCATACAAACATATATTCATCGACACAAAATATAAAATATTGGAGAGATAGATTTGATATCAAAGAGATGAAATGAACCACTATTTTGTCAAAATACGGAAAACAAGAAAAGAAGACAAAAAACGCAATACTAAGGGCAGAATAAGTGAAACTGACGGCTTTAATATAAAATTATATTTTCCTGAAGTATGTATATCAGATCCTAACTACCAGCTCTCTTATCTTCTCCCATTATAGCTTTAGTTCAATTTTCACAACACCAGCTTCTCATGCCTATGCATTTCTTTGAGATCTTCAAATGCTTCTCCTTATTTTACTGACAGTTATTTCAACTCAAGACTCAATTTCACGAAAAAGGCTTCAAATAACGTGCGATTCTCTAGTCCATTCACATTTACTGAAGTGACGCTGATGCAAAAACTAATGGGGAACTATATTTAAATATTTTTTGCACTTTGTTATAATTTCTTGCAATTTATAATATTCATTATTCACATGTTTGATATCTAGACTTTAAGAAAACTGTGTTGACAATAGCAATTACATAAATGTAATTATTGTTGCCGTACAATGACTGAAAAATATTCTACACGATCGTTACTCCAGGCCTTATCTGAATTCTTCATATAAATTCATGGAAATCTAAGCTTGAGTCACTGAAACAGACTTACCCTGGGAAAACCAGAATGACTCTGAATAATGTTACTGAATTAGAGAAACTATGAAATATTTCTTGAATACATGCATCCACCCTACTGACCGATTCCTCTTTAAGTTGTTTGATCAGAAATAGTTACTTCATTCAACCACCTTCCATCATCACTATCATTAGTACAATATGGAGTATTTAAGTGTCGC